GATTTGAATTTTATATTTGGTCAGAATAACCCAATAATAACTGTTTTAAAAATATGTGTGATTTCCATTTAAAATTAAAGGAGTTTAAGAAGGGGTAATCTAGGGGACTTTAATTTTTCATGGGCCTTGTAGGATCAACTAGTGTAATATAATCTAACATATAAAAACTAATGTATATTTGTTTGTTTTTTTTTTATTATTGAACGAAACTTCATGCAGCTAAGGTCATTAGTTTTATCCCACAGTTTTATAAAAAGTTTACATAATATAACATTAGATTACATTTATTTTTTTTAAATATATTTATGTAAGTATATATAGGTTAATTGGGAGAATATTATTGCTACATTTTCTTGTCCAGCTCGGTCTATTTAATGAAAGAAATAAGGTTACTCGTTATATCTGGTCCTTTGGATTCGTCTAATTTTGGATTTATTTTGTGTTTGAGTTTTGAATGTTTGTTTGTTCGTCGTTTTTGGACTCAAAAACTACTTTGCCGTTTTCAAAAAAAATTATATAAATAGATTCCTTGAGGCTCGGGAAAGGTTCTTAGCTTCAGTTTTCAACCTATAGCTGGATGGCTCACACATGAATTTAATTTTGGCTAATGCAAGTAGAATATTGTTATGCTTATTTAAATGATTGTCATTGATGACAGTCTACAAATAATAAAATAGTCATTATGATTCGGTATAATTTTCTGTATTGTATTATATTTGATCACTTAGGCTAATAAAGCTATTTTATATAAAATGCGAAATTGAGTATCAGCTATTGTATATTTTTACTTTACTTACATTACGAGCTGCTGCCTAAGGTATTTAGCTTTAACAGTGATCGTTACAAGTGAATTTTAAAAATAGACACATTTAAGCTTATAAATATGAAAAAGGATTAGTATTAGTTTATACTCTAAAAACATATTACACCGATTTTGACAAAGAAAAATTGAGAATATTTCAACTGAAGAAAGACGGAAACGATAGATAGTTTTGCACATAATTTGTTCAGTACTTACTTACTTATTTTTATATATATTATAATAATACTAAAATATTAAATCAAATTGAACTTTTAACAATATGTCTCTTTAAAAAACATAATTACTCTTTTATAACATCAAAATACTCTAGGTACAGTGTAACAGTATAAGTATAACATATTATATTATTTAATTTTTAATCAACAAGAGGCATCGAGGGTGTTATTGGGCTTTTAGCTAATTTAGGAAGTACCTATTAGAGTAGGTACGTATACTTAATTAATCACCGAAATAGTTGCTTTCGGAATAAAATAGTCACACGCCGGACCCAGAAAAGAAAAAATGTCATAAGTATAGTTTATGGTAAATCGTAAATGATAATACAATAGTTATTTTATAGTTCTAAACAAGTGGTGAAAAAATGAAGTTCCTTCGTATAAATGCTTTATTTCGGCACTCCATTTTCGACATGGTTCATCGAATATACTCTGAACAACGGCCGTCCATGATATCCTCTGTCACCACCATAGGAGGTTCTAAAGAACTTGTTCCTAGTGATAAATTATTACGGTGGAACGGTCGTGAACGTGGAATAAATATCGATTTTTGTCGTGGCCGGTAAATTATCGTTGATGGCCACCAACATGGTATTGAACGGACGACCACTGATTGTCAGACGTCAATGGCTTTTGAATATAATATTATTTCATAGATACGCTATTTTCACGAATTTCCTCAGAATACTGATGATTATACTTAAGATTACGATAATACGATATCTCAAAAAGACGAATATAGGACGATATCGGACAAGTTTATCTCGATTAAAACGCGTAATAATACATAATGGCCATCGTAAAAAAACTTAGGTACTTCGTTGCATATAGTATTGTCGTTACTAAGTATATAAAAAGTAATAAATGTAGGAGATTTTAGTAACAAATGTTCTATTCAGAGTGCTAAAAGCCTTAGATTGGGTTAAGGAATATGACTTAATTTAAAGTCATATACATAATATTGTTTTATAGTAGATTATGAATGTATATATGAATACAATAAAATATAACGGATTAAAAATGTATATAATTATATTATAACTATATAGATACTTCGGAAAACCTTTAAAGTATGATTTTATTACCTACTTAAATATCAAACGTTATTTACTCTTGTTGAAAATTAAAATCCATTGTGTTACACAAAGCCAATGTTAGTAAGTAAATAACTTTGCTATAGATTGACCACATTGTAATGATCTTTTGTTGCCAATAAATTGTGATAAACTTGGTCGTCTCTAAATATTTTCCATATTAATGAAAAACAATGATAATTTCGACCAAAGAGGAGAAGAAATAAATTATTTAGGAAAAATATTATATTAAAACGTAGTATTTTATAATTACAGCAATAATTTAGTATCATAACTTTTAAATCACACAGTTTAATCATTATAATAATATGTGAAAAAAATTAAAAATGTAAAATATATTTTCTTGATATTATATTTATATTGATAAAGATATTAGGAAAATCTATACATTAAAATATCATAAACCTTCCTTCTTTGAAGTTTAATATTTAAGACCATACACATTATATAATATTTTTTGACATTATTTGTTAGGGCAATTTATTTCTGGGTCCTGTACGTTATGAATAATTGTTTTTAAACTTATCCCTAAAACAAATTACTTTAGAGTTTAGATTCTATGAGTGGAGATAAATGTATTAATTTTACGATGAAGTTGGAATTACTTAAAATATTTTTTTCTGGTCTAACATTAAAGATCAGAATACATGCTTGGATTTTAAACTTTAAGGGTGGTTTCTGGTAAAAATTGAATCTAGTTTGTACTCTGGGGGCCTGGAATGCCCAGTAATTTTCTTAATAATTGGGAAAAATGAAAATAAAATTAAGGAAAAATGGAAATTTTTACTCAAAATCAGTTTTTATAGTCTATTTTATTGTTTTATTGTAATTGAAAAACAAATAACCGTAGTTACTTGAAATACTTAACAAATGTTTTCTATTAGCACTTACTCTACTTGGCTTAGTAAATTTAAAAAAAAAATTTGGCTCTTTTTTTTTTGCAATGTAAAGACTTTTGTCATTTGGATTTGTTTCTATAAATAATGAATATTGATAAAAAAAAAACATCCTCTGTGAAGAAGCTAGTGAACGTAATTCAATGGGTTCCGCATAATTTGTTATTATAGCTATTTAAAATATTAAATAGACTATTTACAGATATTTAAACTAAGAATATCAGTTTCTTTATAAAAATATAAAATAAAATATGATTTTTTTTTTAGATTCTAAGCGGAACGAGGAAGCTATTGGTTTTACAATGGTGTTTATTATTATTATTATTATTTTTTTTTCATATCCTGTATACAAAATTTCTACCAGAAGGAGTGGTTCGATTTCAACACATAGTACCTTATCTTTTAGCAAATTGGATCGAGATGGTATTTTAAGAAGATACTTTTTCGATTTAATCAATAGTCATTTAATGCCACGGGAAAAACCACCGACAAATTACGAAAAACCGCTGAAAATAGGATTTTAATTTCTAATGCTTTGTTTATCACCATAATAAATAATATTAATAATATTTTATATTAATTCGACTTACATGATATAATAAATAATAACAATATAAAATATCCAGACTGACAACCCGTCTGCGCTCAGAATCGTTTTTCTTATACAATGATATTATATCATTGAATTCAAGTTTAATACAATCCATTATACAATGACCCACTTGTAAACAAACTGTACAGCAGAGCGACATCCACTTACCCGCTTTTATTTATTTCATGCACTACAATATAATATTATATCAACATACATTTACCTGCCCCTAATTAGACTTAAAAAATGTCATCCTCCCCACCAATATTTATTTACGTATCGTAACGTATTTACGTGCCTATAGTACGCAAGGGGCGCAATCATTCAAAAACGTTTTAATTATAATAAGGACGTCACAACCAGACATCCACATGCGTTGTCTCTGTCCTACATAAGGTTGTGCGCGACATGGTTATTGCATTTTGCAGAGTACAATTTTATTAGAGTGAATATAATCGAACTTATAGCCTACGGGTAAGAAAATTACTTGTGTTTGTACGTTGGTTATTTACGATATACCAATCTTAGTTAGTTATGAGTATTTAAAATATAGTAAAATATGCTTGGACATCGATTCTTTTGGCTATGTACCTAGGTTGCAACTATTTTTCTGTTAGTTGCTAAATATTAACCTTATTTTGCTGTAGTCTATATGTCAAAGTTTTAAAGCCAACTTCATCAGTATTAATAAATAAAAGAATACGTTTTTTTGATAATTCAGTGATCTTCAATATTGTTGTATTTTGTATATTTAGTTGTATCAAAATTATATGAGATATTTAATAAATTCTGTTTGTGTCCTTTAAAGAACCACATACTCAATTTATTATTTTTTACTTTAATTATAATATTGTTGTATGTTTTTAATTCAAATCACGTTTAGTTAAATTAATAATAATAATATAGGTAGGTATGTATATATTATATAATATAAAATATAATAATATAATATATTATAATTTAAATTGGAGATAAATTAAATAATAAAAAAAAATATTATTTAAGGTTAATTGTAGAAAATTACAATAAAAGTAATTAATAATAAAATAAAAATACTAAAAGCTACAATTCATTAGGTAAAATAATTTTTTTTTTTTAATATTATATTTTAACGGAACTTAAACATTATCGCAAATTAAAAATAATATTATAAAGCATAGAAAATATCAAACATATTTTCAGAAGAACAAGATAGATTTCTGCATGATATATAAAATTACAAAGTTAAAATCAAATAATAAACAAGAAATATGTTGATGTATCATAAAAATTTTAATTATAATTTCTTTGATATTAACTTTTAAAAAATTGAATATTCGTCGGTATAATAAAATTGTAGATACCTCCCATATTGAAAAAAAAAAACTACTATAGCATAATTTAAATCAAATTGTCAGCAGTAATTTCTTCTTCTTCTTCATCATCATCATCACAATAATATCGTTCATCGCACCATTTAAGCCATTCTACTGTTGACGGGTTACTGAAAATGTTTTCCAATCGATAGTCTGAAACTTCCTTCAATGTTGACATGTACGACTTTAATTTTCTATTAGGAATATAATTGACCAACGGTGATAACATCCTGGAATTATAGTATTAATTATTTTTTTTATTGATTAACCCGCGTGGCAACTTAGGCTAAATATAAATCATTGTTACTATACTATAGTTATTGATTAGTGTTTACATTAATTATTATACACTATTTGTTCATTTTGAATTGAATTTTAATCAGTAAAATTGAACAAACAAAAATATATTAACGACTTTGGTGGCAATGTAAAACTTACATAAAAAGTTTATTTGATCACAATAATATTATATGGAACATTAAACATGTATAAAGTTCATAAAATTTGTTACACGCTGCTTGTAAACTATTGTACCCATTAAAATATTACACATTACAATATCTGGATGGTAAAACGTATTGTCTAATAAACCATATAGGTGCCAATCTACATAAATAATACGTTTGACTAAAATATAATATTATATACAAATTTATATAGTTGACTGCACCCAGAAAAAAGTCAAAACTAAATAAATAAACAAAATCAGTTGAACACACGTAATAATATAATTTGTACGTAACCGAAATAATGTATTTTAATGACGTACAAAATTGATTTGTGTATTTTCACGAAAAAAAGTATCTATACGAATACAAACACAATGAACTCAATGAATTGTCCACTTTAATATAAATTCAGCGTGCCATAAAAGTGAGTTAGGTACACTGAATAATTGAATAAGTAAATATTATTTTTATTATTAATTCTCTTATTAACTTATAGTTGTTCGAATTGATTTATGAAAAAAAAAACACTCTAATAGTTATATATGTACCTTTTTTTTAGACGAAAGTGTTTTATAATTGAATAAACATAACATATTGTGCATACCTTTTAATCATTTGGCATTAAACTATAAAAAATTTAATCTATTGTAAAAAAAATATTGCTGGAAAATATAAATCACAATTTCACAAAAAATTTATACCTATTGAAAACCTAATGATGGATGTTTGGGTTTCAATTGATTATAAATACCCATTTTTGAAGTGAGTATTATAGTGAATTTATAAAAATATTTTGGAACCACTTAAACACAGTTCAAAACTAAATAACCTATATTAATTAGCTATATCAAAAATTGATATTTTTCATGAAAAAATGATTCATAAATCATAATTCGTGGGTAACTAATAACTATTTTTTTTTTATTGTGCTTTAGGCCGGAAACTATGGCCATTATAACCGTTATTTATTTTTTTTTTTTGTAGGGGGGAATGGTTGGTTGGAACGGTTGGTTGAAACACGTTTGCATTTGTGACAAGAATTTGTAGCTGAAAATCCCGGATGGGTTACCCATCCGGGAGCGAGCAACACCGGCCGATACTTACCCTCAGAGCTCATTTAGGCAGTTGAGTGTATGGACCACGCCAAACCAAGCTACAAAATACTCAATAACTTTATTGAGATAATTTTAAACAGTAAATATTTCTAAGATTGTTACCATTTAATTGAAAAATTATAATATTATATTATAATGATGTTTACCATAATAATATTATGGTAAACCAGTTAATTGTATGTACTCGTTGTTTTGAAAAGTTTTTTTTATATAATTTGATCTCATTTCAAAAGAACAGTTTCTAAAAAAAATTTTTGATCGTTGTCATTAAGTTTAGAGTTTAGATGAGAGGAGTAGAAATGCATCCCAAAAAATGTTGGTTCACTCTTTCGCTTATCTAAACTTAAAATACTTATTGCTTATAAGTTATAAGTTAATAGTTATAACCAACAAACTACTCTTTGGAACTAAATTCCTATGTATCGAAGTACTTTGAAAAATATCCTACTTCGGAGTATGAAATTAAAAATGTACATTGTCATTCAATAAACAAATAAGTCTTAAAAAATTATAATAATAAAAAAATGTACGAGTATAAATTATAATATATACCTATAGTACATTATAACTATGCTACATAATATTTTATTGTTTTAATCTATGTTATATAATATTATATAAATAATTATATTTTATTTAAAATATGTCTGAAATACCACTTAATAAAATAAATCTATAAACGAGGATAATATTCAAATTGTCTGTTTATGATTATATTGTTTTCGATTCATCGGTCCGACGATGTATTTTTTCTTTTTATATCTGAATAAGTCAAGGACAAAGTATAAAATTTTGAATTGGGGATAGATATTGTACACTTATCTATTGTCCTATCGAATGGAACCATGTCAACATTTCGTTCCCCGTCAAAAGCCGAATAAATAATATGCCCCTGAAAAAATCGCGGTTGTCGCTTGTGCGACGAAAAATGCAAACGGAGACCCATTTGATGTGGGTGCAAATTCATCGGCAATTTTTAAATGTTGTCATCGCAACGTCAGGACGCGATTACTTAGGTACGACATTTTACGATATGGAAAATTGTGTTGACGTTTATTACCAGTTCGCCAACATGGATTGCAGACTCGGCGGTCGGGTGCCGGACACGCGACAGGCTGTCCTCTCCGCGCACTTGGCAGATTGCACAAAGGCCATGAACTGCAACAAATTGCCGGCCGCGCCCAGGGTGTCCAGGCCGGCTGTGCTCCTCCTGAGTGCCGGATCGGAGGCGCTGTTGTTACGCAACTGGATCGCTGCACTCGCAATTTCGGTCATGGTGGGCGGGGGAACGGTCATCGCGGGGTCCATCTGCATCATGGCCGCGTTCCTGAGCCACGTCAGCAGGTTGGGCAAGAAGGGCAGCAGGAACAGCCTGAGCAGTTTGCCCATTATGGCGAACTTGGCGAACAGGAACCCTTTTAGCACCACCAACAGCTTCAACTTGACCCACAGGAAGGCGAGGAACTTGATCACCGTGAGCACCTTGAGCTTGGCCAAACCTATCTTGACCATGGCCAGCAGGGTCAACTTGTGCACGTCGATGGACATCTTGTGGCCGGGTTGCCGGACCTCGGCCACGACGGTCGCCGGTCTCGAAGATTGCGTCGGCGGGTCGCTGTACCAACCGACGTAACCGTCACCGGCGCCACCGCCGCCATTGGGGTTTTTCAAGGTTTCCGGTTCGTAATTGGCACTTACGGTACCGTAGTCCACACCTTGGTCGTAAACGTTGTATCCACCGGCCACGCTACTGCTGCCGTCCGCCGTCACGTCCGTCTCGATCATCACTGGTCCGTATTTTTTCAACTGCCTGTGACTGGGGTAGTACCTGTGAGACACAACAACCGATCAAACACCATAATCTGCATTAGTGTGGAACATGCAGTTATCAGTGATTAAAGTTGGGGGGGGGGGCAGAAAGACTGAGTCCCCCTACCACTGATTGCGCTTCAAAAGGTATACGCTGGTACGATGGGGCCTATAGTTAAATTAAAATAATTTCTCCCCCGTTAAAAAAAACAAAAGTTTTTTTTCAAAATTTTAACAATTTAGAATTATTAGTTGATATTTTATTAAGGCGAATTTTTTTATTTGATAAAATATATTGATATAGGAAAATATAATTATTTATTCAATTTAATTGATACTGTTGATAATAGTTTAATATAAGCCACATATTTTCAGAGCGAATGGAGAAAAAAATGTTTGATTCCTCAAATTAATAACCTATTACTTATTGATGGTTTACTGTACGATTTGTACGCAAAAACGTTCCATGGAACGATACAAATAAAATATGAATCTCTGTTGTGTGTTGTAGGTACATACCATTTACCTGGGAAGTCGCAGCTGATACCACATTATGTCTATGCCTATAAAATGTACAATGAGCTATTTAGCTGCAAAACTTATAGGTACACAGATAAAATAAATGATGTAAATTGCATAAAATGCTTCGTGTTTCAATATCGTTAATTTATTTTCACTATGCACACCACTAAAATAATTTTAGATTAACGTTTTAGTACATTACAATTATACGTAATATTATAACAATAATGTGTGGAAATAAATTAATTGAAAAACCAAAGTAAATGACTTATTATTGTTGCGCCTTTCTTGATCCGCATGATTATATGCATTAGACGCAAAGCGTATTTACAAAAAGTTAGATACGTACAAAAACATTTATTTAATAATTCTGTCGGCGTTATTGTAGAATTAACTGAAACCAAGGGTTTTTCTTCGTTCCTACATGTTTCCATCTTTCATATTATAATCACTGTTTTCCATGTCATGACTTATAACTACACAATTATTGTTAAATTCAACACATTAAAACTTATTCTCGTTAGTCTGAATAGTTACTTGTTATTATTTCCAAAATTAACGTTAATTGTGGATTATTATTATTATATTTTCATTGTATGTTTTATTATTAATTATTATTATTATTATACTTAATTTAACAAATTATAATTTAAAACTTATTATATTTTTTTGTATTTTTTAAAAAAAATAACTTTAATTGTAAATTAATATTATTTCTTATGCTGTATAATATAATATTATTAATTTGGTAGTGAACAATTATTCGTTTTATTAATCGATATCCAACCAAAATTGCATAGCATAGTCGAAAATTAGCTACCTACCTTGCTGTGACTGTATTTATTTACTACGATATTATAAAATACTTGGAATAGTCATAATAATTTGGGTATTTATCATTTATCTGTGAATGAATGTGCCACTTGTATGGATTTTAAATACAGTATCATAATATTATAATACACAAACTAAAAATGAATAAACTGAATATGCATTGACGAAATGACGAATATGTAAACACTATTATATATAATATTATATCGCTCTGTTTTGATAATTAATTATTGTGTTGTTAAAACAATATTCTCTCCGGCCTTATTACAACACAAGTTTTCAAACACGCTGTACATACACTATGCATAACCCGTTTAACATACTGTTATTTTACGCTTAACTCAACAGTATAATATATTACTATTACGTCATTATATCACTGTAAATCGTAGGCCCCTCTCATAATTATTATAAGGTATAAGTTAATACCTACAAAAAAAAAAAATCAACAGTTTATCAATATTGTTAACCCATATACAATGGTTTCATTAATTCATTAATTTCTGAAAAAAAAAACTGACCATCACATAACCCAGAATAAATGTCTATGAGTTCAAATAAGTTTTAAAAATTAAAATGGGTTCCATATTGTATTATATGTCAAATCGAATATAATTTTCGTACCTAACATAAGAACGATTTACGTCTGCTATGGCTCCAATCAGTCGTACCGGGATTGTTTTATGTGCGGTTCATTATTATAATCATATGAGTGGATGATAGGGGGGGAAGGGGGGTCATTTATAATAAAACAGTAAGATATATTAATTATTAGCATCGGATTAGTTGTGTAAGCACCTGTTCCATTTTGCCGCCGAGTACTCCGAGCGTTGGTCTTCCGGGTCTGTGGTTTCTTGTTGAATGTTCGTGTCGCCGCCGTACAGATGATGCAGGTAAGGCGGGTGCAGGTGGTTGCTGACGTACCGGCTCCGGGCGACCAACGGCGGCGAATCTGTCGTTAGCGCCGGATAGACGTCGACCTTCGCGGTGACCGGCGGCGAACCGTCGTCGGAAGTCTGCTGCAGCGACGATAGCGTTTGGTACTCGTCCGACGACCACTTCTGGCCGGTGGTCTTTAGCCCAGCCGACAATAGGTCAAGCCCCTGGGCGTCGATTTTCAGCTCTCGCATGTCCCTGGGAGTTCGGTGGTCGGCCCGTGCGCCGTGGCCCGTGCTTGTTCCGGCCGGCTCACGACCGGCTGGAAAAACGATCGCACCACAACACCCGGCCAACAGCCCGAACGCTAGCGAAATGGTCGCGGCCGTCATGGCGCGAGATCGGTCGTCCATTTGTTGTTGTTGTTGTTGTTATAGATCTCTACGACCGTCGCTTAGGTTGTTATTGTTTTTGTGTATGCGTGTACTGTTAGTGGATACTATTGTTTATAAGATTCACTCGTTCAACAGAGGTCGTACTAACAGAGATCGTGATGACTTTGACAAATAGACACTATATTTTTTTAAATATAATTAAGGACGAAAGGGCACAAAATCAATATATCACTTTAGAAGTCAGTATAGTGGTCTTGGCCCAATCGCTACTCACTGTACTCTGAGTCGTCTGAACTACGTCTGGACTTGGTCACATCTAAAGATTGTTTTCAACCAAAAAAATTAAGAGCGTTGGCCGAGAGGGGGAGTAAAAAATAATTTATATTAATTTAAAAATCTAGAACAATATCGTATTTTTATTATGAATTTTCTTTCGCAGTACCAAAATTATACCGTTTAACCATATTATGGGGAAAAGTAATTTTTTTTTCCTTGAAAATTAAGAGTCATGTATGCAGGTTGCACCACATAAACGCCTATTACCAAACTGATATGGAGAAAAAAAATCATTGAACAATTTGTAGAATATTATTAACGAACATTTACTGTAAAAATGAAATTGTTTAAATATCATATATTATTATATGGCGTGTCGAATCCATTTATCAACTATAGAGATCGGGTGTGTAGCTTATATAGCATTTGATATTCTTTTAAAATGTTATGAATTATGATTTTACTTTTTAGAATATTTGTATATTTTTTTAAAATTTATTTACGAACGCTAGGCTGAATATAATATGTTAAGGGGATTGCAGCACAAGTATTTTCCATACGTTATAGACCAATGAGAGGTGCTAAATTACACATACTTCGGAATGTTCGATTTTAATTCTTATACCTATTGTATAATATGAACTCTTTGAAAAAATATCAAAGCTTTTTAGGAAGTCTATTTTCAAATTCAATTTTAAAGGCCCTTAAAATAAAGATTCTTTTATCGAAAATCCCATGAAATAATTGCATTACATTTGTATTTATTTATTTTGGGCACATCTGATTTTAAACAAAAATAGTGATTCCGGAAGAGCATAGTCTAAAAGCTTATAAGTTATAAATTCAATCATTTTTTTCGAAATTACAAACGAACTGCAGGAAGTATGTTTAATTTACTACCACTTTTAGTAGTTTTTATAGCTATACAAACAAGAATATATTATATTCTATTTTTTTGCGATTTATTGACTTGCGAGAGTTGCATCCGGTGGCGGTTGCCCGAAGCGGCATTACAGCGATTTTTGGAAACACACACTAATGTTCATTTACTACTCACATAACCCAAATGTACACGTCATGTGAATTGCCTAAATATTACTCCTTAAAACATGATACGCTGGAGCCCCCTTAATAAAATATGATTAATGCAAGTATCAAAATGTCCCAGTTGAGTACTCGATACTCGATACTAAAATCTATAAACACGTTAAATAGATGTATGAGGGAA